AAACGGGGTTGGAATGCCTGAGAGTACAAAAAAAAAGGAAAATTACATTAAAATGTTGAAATTAGATAAGAGCCACTAAATATGCACTTGATACATTGCCAGAATGAGCTGTTGGTCAAATGAGTGTGTGGCCAGAATAATCTAATTATGTGAAAAGAAGTGGCGGCTAGAATGAACTGTTGGCTTCTTGAACTGACGGCCAAAATGAGCTGATGGCCAGAAAGAACTGGTAGCCAGAATGATCTGGTGACATGAAAAAGCTGTTCATCAGAATGAACTGGTGGCCAGATTGAACTGGCATCGAGAATGAGCTTGGGCCATATTCATGAAATCTTACTAAGCCTAGTTGCTTACTAAATAGGCATGTAGTTGCTAACTAAGCCTAGTTGGTAACTAATTGATATTCATGAAACATTGCTAATGCTAGTTTCATTCTAAGTTTCTTACTTAAGTTAGTGTAGATCCAGGGCAACCCCAAGTCACTAGTTAGCAACTATATCATTTTTTGTTGTGCCAGACTTGGCTTTTTAGGTGGTTTTCCCCCTCTGGTTGCCTTCTTGGACTTTCTCATACTTGACAGGAATTCTCTTGACTCGGATTTTAATTTGGATAATCTAATTTTAAATCATCCAATGATCTTTCAACCTGTGGAAATCTTGCATGGTGTTGGCTGAGAAAAGCTGCCCATGCATCTTTCTTTTTTTCTTGTTAGTGTTTGCATCTTTATGCTTAGCATCAATAATAATAATAGTATGTAACTAGTTAGCAAGGTTCTTAGTAAGGTTTCATGAATAATAATTTAGTTGTCAACTCCATAGTAGACCACTAGGCATTTTAGTATCATACTAAGGCCTAGTTGGCTGCTAATTTAGTAAGGTTTCATGAATATGGCCCCTCGTAGCAAGAGAGAACTGGTGGCCAGAATGAAGTGGTTGTCAGAATGAACTGCCGGCCAGAATGAAGTGGCGGTCAGAATGAAGTGGCGGTCAGAATGAAGTGGCGGTCAGAATGAACTGCCGGCCAGAATGAAGTGGCAGTCAGAATGAACTGCCGGCTAGAATGAACTGCCGGCCAGAATGAACTGCCGGCCAGAATGAAGTGGCGGTCAGAATGAACTGCCGGCCAGAATGAACTGGTTGCTAGAATGAACTGCTGACCAAAATGAACTGGCAGCCAGAATGAACTGGAGCTGAGCCTGAGCATTAACTGGTGGCCAGAATGAACTGATGGCTAGAATGATGTGGTGGCCAGAATGAACTGGTAGTTACAATGAACTGGTGGCAATCATAAAATCACGGCCAGGAGTAGGGGCAGATTTCATGGCAATTCTTAACAGGTTAGCAGAAGAGTTGTACCAATTATAGCTGAAAATAGACTGATCCATTAAGCTCTGCCCCTCTCTGTTTTGCCCAATCACAGCCGTGATTAATGTCTGGCATGCCTGCACAAAAACTGAAATACATACACATGTGTAAGATGCATGTCCCTGGAACATGCAGTGTGGCATTGAAGAGGCGCACATGTTTTTGCACAAGACTTTTATCATGCTGCCACCATTCCAGTTATGTTCCCCGTCTCCAATAACAGTAATAAATGATAATGTTTGTTGTGCAAAAAGGAACCAGACTATTTTTCCTTCCAGCCTCGCTTTGGTTACTTTGTTTTGAATGGGAAAAATCCAAATGGCCGCAACATGATAATGGTCTATAGGTCTCTCTCAAGTGACGTCATTTCCTACAGACCATGCCACATGCAATCGGCATTTTGAGCCTCAACCTGCAAAACGCGCATCAGCTGCATCGTATTTCGAACACATTTCAACGAGCATGCGTGCTTGGAACATTTCCAACACTGTGCAATGCGTGCTTGATTGCATAAAATACGCAGTTTCAGTTCTCCTACAGAGATGGCCGTCTTTGAGAGAGACCTATTGTGCTAATCTTACGCACTTTTTCACAAAATGGATGTGCTAACAGTTGCACACCCGTGGAGATTTCTATTGTTATGGCACAATTCAAAGGTAGAGTACACCATTTGTAATTTGTGCATTATGTTCGTTTGAAGCAACAAAAGTGCTCAAAATCTAAAAATGGGTGCTGAACAACTAACCTGAAGAAGTCTTAGCTCAGTGCATGCAGTATATCCTGAGAAAACAATATTCTACGATCTTGATTTCAAATAAGAAGTTGCCAAGTCATGTTTTGAATTGCGCCCGAATTCAGCGTCTAGGACACGTTCTCATTTAGATGATTGCAGCTATGCGATGTCGGACACTGAACCCACAAATTATCGCAACCGCGCGAGCGTGTGCGTTGTGTCAATGCTTGCGCGCGCTTCGCCGAATTAAAAACGAACTACTAACGGAAATATCCAAAAATGTGTCTTTAGATGCATCGTTGGATATGGCCTTTCTTCATTGTTTCCTTCAAAATGAAAGCTTGCCAGAAAGAATATTTTCACAGGGAGTTTAGTCCCATTACTAATTTTTAACCAAGCACTTTTTGGATAACTGCAAATGATGGACTATACCTTTAAGCAATTTCTTTCTCTGAGGTAAACAGGATTTTTGCTATTCTTACTGATTAGTCAGACAATTGTGTGCTAAGCAGTGCCATGATTGTGAGCCCCATTTGTTGTCTGTAGTTGTGGCCAGAGTGACAATATTTGTGTCGGGAATGTATAACTAGATAGAAGGTAATTTGTCCTCCCTGCTGGCACAAGATGGCCATTTTGAGCATCAGATTAGCAGGACCATTCTCCCCCAATGACACAGCCACAATTAATGAGTTCCTCCAATAGCCTCTCCCTGAAGACAACCAAGTTCAAATTAGAGGTTTTTAAGTGAACTCACCCCATATTGTGTATCACTGGTTAAGAATTCGTCCTGGTTACCATTGCTGTGTCTAGACACGGGATGAAAGACGGCAAGAAGCGTCACAATAGGCACCACTATCTTGAAAAGCTGTAATGGGGAAAAGAAAGAAACATACAAAAACACAGATGAATACAGAAACACTGAGGCACTCAGGTTACACTAGTAAAGTATAAGGCCTGATTTCATGAAGCTAGTATGCAGAAAATAATTACATGGCAAATTATGTAATAAGCCAATATTTAGCGTTACCATAGGGGAGGGGTGGGGTCACCAATGTTGGGACTTATCTCATTCCCTTTGTGGACTGAGGCTCGTGGACTGAAGCAAACCCAATGTATTGTACAATACACGCACAGAGCTATTTACAGTGGCGGATCCAGAGAGGTTCGTGCCGGGGGGGG